TGACAGAGATTTATTCTTATAAGTAACCTAATCTAATTCATTTCTTTCTTACATACTTTATACATATATATATATTAACATATTTATATCTAAATTACCTCTATTCATTCAATTAATCCTCGTTGTATTCGTATAATTTTAATCGAAGTCGCAATTAAACGTGTTTAATGACGTCTTTACCTAATTACTGCCATTAACCAATCAGACGAATACGATTTTAAATATTCGCTAACCAATAGAATTGATTGTGAGATATTTTTAAACATTTTTAAATCGCGATGTTAATTAGAAACGAAAAAAATAATAATTAATTAAATTAATTGCATAATTAATTGTGTTGACTTTACTAAGCGTCCTAAAGTTAATTGGAATAATTTCTAGTCGATTGTGATAAAAATTTTTGAGTGGAAATTTTCAAAAACTAGACCTATAAATTCCAACTGGCGTCCGTCTGTCTGTCTATCTGTCCTTAATCTCGAGAACGGTGTTATATAGATGAAAGTGCAGACTAAATATGGAAAACTTAGAGGCAGGAGGCCCCATTTACCATATACGAACTACCGGTTTGCACCGAGTTATACAGATGACCAGTTCGAATCCGTTGTTAACAGGAGAAGTGTGATGTACAGGGACAAGACACTATTAAAATTGAGAGCATTGTGACGATGTCACAATTGCTCGACAACTGCTCGTTATTTTTATTTTTTCCAAAAATAATGAATAATATTAATAATAAATATTTACTTTTATTTTAATTAATAGAATAAAATATTTTAATATCCGCTGAATTTTTTTCAAAAGTAAATATCTGAATTAATTCATATAATTCATTTAAAATAATGAGTTTTTATTGATCGTAAGTTATTTTCGCCATTAAATAAATTAGATCTAATTAAAATTAATATTTTTTAAATTAAATTACGAGTTATAAGATCGGTTTAAGTTTGAAATAGTCTATTGATGTCATTAAATGTATTTAACATTGCCGTTAATTAATGATGTTTAGTTTAAACTAGCCAATCAGCAGCTAGCATTTTAAAACTAGCCAATTAACAGCTAGCATTTTAAAACTAGCCAATCAGAAGCTAGTATTTTAAAATTTATATTACGTAATTTAATTTAAAAGAAATAAAACCGATTTTTCTTTTTTTTTTTTTGTTCCNCCACCGTATCAAAGAAATGCCGACCCTCCGGTCACAAACACACACACATATATATATATATATATATATATATATATAAGGTTTTTATTTATTCCGCTCATACCTTTAGCATTATAGGACATCCATCTTTTGTCACAATATTAGGAATTAAGGGCGCCACATGTTAGCGATTGGATAAAGAAAGGAATTTTTTCCTTTCCTCTGCAGAAGATGAGACAAAACAAAAATTGCTCGATTTCCTCACTTAATTAAATTGTCATCATCATCCCAATCTAATATATAAATTAATAATTAATTAATATGATTTTCTAAAACTCTCTCTCTCTTGTTTCTTCCGCGAAAGGGCATTATTAGCTTCATTGTTAACTGTGTAAGAAAAATGTCAGATGGAGGAACGAGACGTAAACGACCTTTATGACTCTTCCTCTCTTAATTCTGCATCAGTTAAGAGTCGAAAAGGAGAAGGGAAAAGTCATCGGGGATTCATTACACGTAAAGGAGTTTTAATGGGTCAGAAAGTGCAAAGATATCTTTAATTTTCTCATATATTTATACGTTTGTATGGCATCAAAACATAGCAAGGATTGATCTCTTTGCTTACACAAAGATTCTTTTGCAAAACGTCAATTTGTTAAGTCGCATGGTGTAGTCAAGTTTGGAACGATGCCAACTGCGTTTAACCTTCCCGAAAACATCAAAGAAAAATCGATGAAAATTACAAATCAATGCCTCGCATTCCTACAAGCTTTCATTGTTATCGAAGAAGATTGCATGGTTTATTTCATTAAACATCCACGCCGCCAATCTCCCTCTCTCCATCTTCCTCTCCACGTATAAGGTAAACTCAACTTTCATCGATTAATTGCTTATAGGGGGACCACCTTTAAGTGTGTAAATGCCACGTGCAACCTCCTCCCTAACTCCCATCCATCAGTTAATTAAGGAAAATGATACTTACTCCGACTTAAAATTGTATTTTTTCAAGTCTAAAGTATCTTCTGTTCGATATTTTTGCAGGTTTTTTATGGAATGGGTGTCATTATCTCCCTTTTTATCAAACTTGCGCTTCTGGAGATTGGAATTCTCTAAAAAAAATTTCGAAGAGAAACGTATAAGAATTAATATAATACCGTTTATTAAAAGGAAATAATTAATAATTTTTTGGAAAAATCATTTTAAAAACAATTATATTTTCCGAAATTTTCAATTTTTTTAATGCATAAAAATGCATTAAATATTCTTCGAGAATATTAAAATTTTTATAAAAATGTGGGGTGGACCAAAAGTCAGTTAACAATGATAAAACCTAAACTTTTATCCTATTCAAATACCTTATTACGATTTCAATTAACATTTTACAACAACGGTTAACTGACTTTTTAATTATCATTCTAATTCGGCATCACTTAACTGATTAGTGTACATCTCAAATTTAAACTTTTAGACCCATTCTCTATCAGTGGAGTAAATAATTGTTGTTTTATAACGTTTCTAAACTTGTGATAATATAGAGTAAAATCATAAAAACTTTCAATTTTCTGGAGAACATGTTTTATAGGAGTTAACATTAATTCTGCACGGCATCATCTTACATAAAATCTTCAAGAAAGAGAACATATATATATAAAATTAACCCAAACGAATAGGAATTTGTTCACGCTCTTAATTCAACTTCACAACACAGCAGTCACTTCACCACCATTACTAACAGGAGATATAATTTATGACTTTGGAAACAATAACTGTCATTTTCATTATTATCCAAAGATATTAAAGTGGAGTGCGCCTCTTGTATGGCTCCAAATTTGCTACATCAAAACACTGATGGAAAATTCGCAACAAATCATCGATTCTTATCACTCCGATCTAACACCGGGCCATTCTAAAGCACGCGCAAGAGAGGGGGGTTTTAAATATCGCGCAGTTTTCAACGTTTAGAAAATTAGTATCGGTGTTGAATTGTTATATAAATGATTACAACACTTTATATATTTCGTTGATTCACGTAAAGCTCACGTCGTCATGGCTACCGTTCAGTCTTCTCGCATTGAAAAGTCGATTGTCCGTGACTTTATTGACGTCATACTCTAGACGTTACTATATTTAGGGGATGGGGAAAATAATACTTACTGACCGCGTAAACAACGTCACAGGAGATTACCATGCTTTTTATTTAAACTTTTATTAGATATATTATAAAAATAACTCCTTTTTTTTTACTATTAATAGCCTCCCTGTATCGTTTTTAAGAGTGCCACAGCATCTTTAAAGTGGGTAGATAAACATGCGCTGTTGTTATAATGGATTTTGATCAAATTTCCTTTAAAAAAAAATTCACTTAAAGAATTGATCCAGATAAATTCCGAGAAGAGAGATCGTAGGCGATGTGACAGTCGAAAAATTCCAAGAATATGAGGAACAATTTAAACTCTTGCATCAAAAAAAAATTTTAGAATATTTTTAGTGGTTTCCTACTACGATTTCCCTCATTTTTCTTTATATAACATAATTTAGTAACAAGTTAATTAATACGTAACTTGCTTTATAAAATTAAAAAAAGAGAATTAATTTTAAAGTTATGAAATCCAAATTAATTACTATTTGTATCTTAAAATGGCCATGTTTTTAGTGAAGAGAAAAAGATAAATAAAATATTTAATTTCTTAAATAACTAATCATTAAAAATAATTTATCAATCGATTAATAAGTGTAATTCCTATCATTCAATGTGTATATATCATTTTTTATCACTAAATTATATTAGAAACAATAATAATAATTATCATCAACTAATCAGTAAAAATCATTTCTTATCACATTTCTTCATTGATTACTTTAAAATAACTTTAGAAAAATTGTGAAAGGTTATCATCTTCTGCCTTAAATTTTTTCCATGTCTCATTTTTTCCCCTTTTGTCTGTTTATCTACGCTTTGAGTTTCAATATTTCGATCTTGTCACCGATCGAAAACATTACCAACTGTAAAAATCCAGTAATATGTCGTTTGCCCCTGTAAATCTCGCTTCCCAACTATATCAGGTGTTAAGCAGAGAAGCTATCGTCTCAGGCATTTTAAAATGATGCCTAAAATTGCGTGTTTTCTCGTTAAAATTTAGTCATTTAAAAAGATAAATGGCTTTAATATTTAGTTTAAATGTTTTTTATTTAAAAAAGCAGCAAATATTTTAAAAATTTCGCTTTTAAAATATAAAATTTATGCGATTTATAACAAAAGTCGTTGCTGTTCGGCTTCACTGCATAACTAAGTGTAGATAGGAAAAGAGACATTTACAGGGGCAAAAATGTGCATTATTCCTATTTTTCGATGAAAATGGTCGAAAGAAGTGTTGAATTACCTTTAGGAAATGTTTTATTTTATTTTATTTTTTCGTGTAGAGGGAAAAAAAGATAAGGAAATAAGAAAAAGATAAAAGGAGGAGGTATAATGAGAAGAATATTCCGACAGGTGGATCTAGTAAATGTCTTCTTGTTGAATCGATGGTGACATTAATGTCCTGATTTTCTTTATTTTTATCCCTTAGATTTAGGAAAACTTTGAATTGTTGATAGTTCATGGAAAGGAATAATGTCTTGTTACCAATGTATTCTCCCTTTAGCAAGAAAAACATTAAATATATACATTTTTTTATATTAAATTTGTAGCATTGTACATTGAAAACATCTTAACAATTCGACCTTAATTAGAATTATCCCAAAAAAACTCCAACTTTTAGTGAATTTATTTTTTTTTTTAAATTTANTTCGACCAGAGGAGCGCTACATCGAGGTTTGTCTATATATATATATATATATATATAAGGTTTTTATTTATTCCGCTCATACCTTTAGCATTATAGGACATCCATCTTTTGTCACAATATTAGGAATTAAGGGCGCCACATGTTAGCGATTGGATAAAGAAAGGAATTTTTTCCTTTCCTCTGCAGAAGATGAGACAAAACAAAAATTGCTCGATTTCCTCACTTAATTAAATTGTCATCATCATCCCAATCTAATATATAAATTAATAATTAATTAATATGATTTTCTAAAACTCTCTCTCTCTTGTTTCTTCCGCGAAAGGGCATTATTAGCTTCATTGTTAACTGTGTAAGAAAAATGTCAGATGGAGGAACGAGACGTAAACGACCTTTATGACTCTTCCTCTCTTAATTCTGCATCAGTTAAGAGTCGAAAAGGAGAAGGGAAAAGTCATCGGGGATTCATTACACGTAAAGGAGTTTTAATGGGTCAGAAAGTGCAAAGATATCTTTAATTTTCTCATATATTTATACGTTTGTATGGCATCAAAACATAGCAAGGATTGATCTCTTTGCTTACACAAAGATTCTTTTGCAAAACGTCAATTTGTTAAGTCGCATGGTGTAGTCAAGTTTGGAACGATGCCAACTGCGTTTAACCTTCCCGAAAACATCAAAGAAAAATCGATGAAAATTACAAATCAATGCCTCGCATTCCTACAAGCTTTCATTGTTATCGAAGAAGATTGCATGGTTTATTTCATTAAACATCCACGCCGCCAATCTCCCTCTCTCCATCTTCCTCTCCACGTATAAGGTAAACTCAACTTTCATCGATTAATTGCTTATAGGGGGACCACCTTTAAGTGTGTAAATGCCACGTGCAACCTCCTCCCTAACTCCCATCCATCAGTTAATTAAGGAAAATGATACTTACTCCGACTTAAAATTGTATTTTTTCAAGTCTAAAGTATCTTCTGTTCGATATTTTTGCAGGTTTTTTATGGAATGGGTGTCATTATCTCCCTTTTTATCAAACTTGCGCTTCTGGAGATTGGAATTCTCTAAAAAAAATTTCGAAGAGAAACGTATAAGAATTAATATAATACCGTTTATTAAAAGGAAATAATTAATAATTTTTTGGAAAAATCATTTTAAAAACAATTATATTTTCCGAAATTTTCAATTTTTTTAATGCATAAAAATGCATTAAATATTCTTCGAGAATATTAAAATTTTTATAAAAATGTGGGGTGGACCAAAAGTCAGTTAACAATGATAAAACCTAAACTTTTATCCTATTCAAATACCTTATTACGATTTCAATTAACATTTTACAACAACGGTTAACTGACTTTTGAGTCACCTTGTACGTAATAATTGTATTGATAACATATTAGTAATTAAATTTTTGCAGTATCATGTACTTAAAACTACTTTATCTCAACTTTATGACACAGAGTATGTGACGGCTCGCTTTACGACGGTTTTCCACGAACTAATTATGAGAATCTACTTGTATATTACACGAAAACAAAACACTTAACGTAATCTATAAACAAATATTATACGATAAGTTATGATTATAGCTAGTTTAAGGAAAGTAAATTCAATTTATTTCACTAAATTTAAGAGAAATTAAACGGTTCGTTTTACGACGGTTTTCTACATAATTTAGTCGTAAATGTAAAAAAATCTATTATATACTAATCATAAACAAGATAATTAACATAATATATACATTATAGGAATCAAAATAAACTATAATTTAATATCGTACGAGATAATTAAATCAATTCCCAAGAATGTAATCTCAATGGCTCGCTTTACGACGACTTTTCATAAACCAATTAAGTCGGAAATACGTCAATCTGCTGTAGCCTTATATATATATAAACAAGATCATTAATATAATAACGAATTAAAATTTTCAGGTATTGTATAATTAAGGCTATTTCCATGTATGCCACACAGCTTGTATTAAAGGCTCGCTTTGCGACGGGTTTTCTACCTACTAATTACGTTATAAAAATGCAAAAATCGACTTCACATTAATAAAAAACATAACAATATTAATACGTTAATTAGAATTTACTTAAAATAAATTATTCATTTCGTTAATTATCCTAAATTACAATAAAATTATCAAGTAAACAGCCTACTTGACGGAGCGAAAACAACTTGGAATATCAACCGTCGTAAAGCGAGACGTTATAAATTGAGATTACGTCCTTGAAAGTAGCTTAACGTACACAATTAAATTAAACTTTATGTTAATTATCTTTTCCTATAATGTGTATATTATGTTAATTATCTTGTATATGCGTACCCAGCTTCGTGGGGCCAGGGCGAATTTGAATTAGGGGGCCTCAACGTAGACTTCTTTTTCGTTGGGAAATGTTTAAGGGGAAATATTTTCTTATAAAAGATGGTTTTGGCCCCTCCGTTGGTGGGGCCCCCTAGTAAATTGTCTTTTTTCCCGTAAGATAACGCGCCACTGTGCGTACTGTACAACATATTTCCACATAAGACACTATACGATCGAACGGTTCGTTTTACGACGTTTTTTTCCGTCGTAAAACGAACCGTTCGTTTTCTCTTACATTCTGTGAAGTAAATAGCGTTTGCGTTCCCAAAAGCAGCTATAAATGTCCATAAACATGCTTGAAATGTGGATAAATGAAGAGAAGAAGAGAAAACTAAAGAGTAAACACGTAAAAAACATCCCTTCCACGTTGAAAAACCATTAAAAAAATCAATAAATTCCAACGTTATTTTTTCGTTTGATAAATCATTTAATTGAAAAACGAAATCAGTTCAGACAACCGGACGGACCTCTCGAAACTAAATACTATTTATCAAATTCGAAAGATCTGTATCGATCAAAGGAGATCGAAAGAAGAACGGAGATCTCTCGAAAGCTGATAGAGGGCTCCTACGTAATTCTAGGACCTTTATAAACTAGGGCATAACAATTCTGAGGCCCTTAGAAAAATATTAAGAAATAGAAAAGCAGAAAAAAAAACAGTGCTTATAAGTTTTAAAATTAATTTTTTAATGCGCAAGAAACTCGATGAAATGAGTAATACGTAGTGAGGCCTCAGTACATGTGAGGCCCACTAGAAAAATATTTGAATGTGGTACTTAAAACTTAATTAAAATTTTTGTATTGATCATTATTACATATACGGCCTCTCGGAATTTAAAAAAGGGCCCGGTTTCTTTACATTTTAAGGCCTCGATATGTTAAAAACAAAACGGCATAAAAAAGTTGTTAAATTGTTCTTAATAAGCAAGAAATTCAATGGAATGAATTATTTATAATATATTTTTGAGGCCCCGTAAATGCGATGCCCATGCTAAATAGTCCTGTTGACTCCCGTCATGGAACCCGGTTGTAAGAAGAAATATTAAACTTTCATTATAAACTAGGGCCTTCGTAAGTGTAGAGAGGCCCGGCTACTTTTACTTTGAGGCCCCAGTTTATTTAAAATTAAATAAAGCAGCGTTAAAAAATCATATTTTAAAAAAGAAAAACTTAAAAAATAAAGATTTTATACACAAAAAAAATGCATAAAAATGAATTATTTGATGGCGTTTTGAGGCCCTCTAAATATGGGTCTGTCCATAAAGTAAAATGTTAAAAGTTCACTATAAGCCAAGCCTTAAAAAGTCGAGAAATATAACATCATTTTCACCTTTTTTTATATAATGGAGGCCTTACTTACATTTTTGAGGCCTTCAACATATAAAAAAAAAAGTTAAAAATGGTGTTACATTTTCTCAACTTTTGAGGCCCAGCTTATAGTGAACTTTTCACATTTCATCTTCTGGACAGGCCCATCATAAAAGGCCTTGCAAGGCCTCTTGTTTCGGATCTCATAAATATACTGTATTCCAAAATACTGTATTTTAGAAAAAATAAAGTTTTCTTCTTAATACATAAGTGAAATGAATCGTTCATAATGTTTTTGAGGCCCCATAACGTGAAGAATCACTTGCATTTTTGAGGCCTTAAGAATATTAAAAAAACGTTAAAAATAGTATCATATTTTCTCGACTTCTAAGGCCTGGTCTATAATAAACTTTTAACAATTTTTCTACTGAACAGGCCCCTCGCAGTAGACCTAGCAAGGCCTCTTGTTTCGATGGACCGCTGGACCTTGCGACACAAAATACAAGAGAATTACAACGAAATGAATAATTTGTGACAAAGATTTTTGAGGCCCCTTTAAGCACGAGGTCCTTCGCACGAAAGGGCTCGGTTATATATGCAAACAGTACGTTTTACAGGAAAATAACTTGAATTTTTTTTAAAGAAATTTCATTAAATAAATTTGGAATTCCTTTTTAGAAAATTTCATTTTAATTAATTAAAAAAAAAGATTTATGATTAATTAAGCATTGAATATTAATTTCTAAAACAAATTTTAATTTTATACGTAAATTAATTTTTTTTTTTTCTGGAGAAATTTCCTTCTCTGTTACAACATTAATTTTTATTACTTATGCAAATCACGCTAACAATTTCGTTGCAGAATATAAATTATCTTCATTTTCTCTTCCAGGTTAGATTAATGCTATTTAATCTGTGAAAATTGATTTAGGATGAAGAGGATGAGAAAGAGAAGGAAGTTAATCCTTCAGAAAAATACATTTGACAAAGATAATTCCGGTTCAGAAAGGGGTAAATCGTAAAACAAGAGAAATTCAAGATCAATAGGGATAAATCAATAAAGATAATTCCAGATAATAAGATGAATAAAAAAAAAAGAACAAGGAAAATTCAGGATCAGAAGAGGCAAATTTTGAAAAATTCAGGGTCAGAAGTGGTGAATGAAACAAAAAATCAAGGAAAATTCAAGATCAAAAGGGATGAATAAAAAGAAATTCAATTCAAGATCAGAGAAGGGAATCAAAAGAACAAGGCAAATTGAAGGTCAGACGAGAAGCGAATAAAAAAGTAATAATTCCAGATGCGACTGTGGGCGAATCACAGAACAAAAATAATAATAATAATAATAATAAGAATAATCCCAGACCAGAACATGTTGAATAATAAACAAAGATAACCCTGGATCAGCAAAGAAAAATTTTATTACAAATTTAATTCCAAGCTCCATAAAACTCGTTTTGTTTACCATAAAACTTTATATTTCTCTATGGGAAAATTAATCAAAGTTACCGAGTATTAAACAGTATGCGGTTAAACGGATCACACTACTTTCTTTTGTTCTTACGATAGCAATTATTTATGACAAATTATACTGTTAATTATATTGTTAAAACGAAGTGTGTTCGTCGTCCATGCTATCTCTACGTAATAAATAATTAATGGTGACGACGATAACGTTCTCGTGCAACGAAACGTTACACTAAACACAATTAATTTTCCTATTTCGGCATTCCTATCCTAAACTTATACCAATTAAACGCATTGGGTAACCTCTTCCATCTGTTGTTACACCAGGATTTATATTATTTTCAATGGGTTCTAATCTAAACTGAATTAAAGTTCTACTAATGGAAGCTGTTTAATTCCAGATAATGAACTCATTTAAGTGATAATAAATTGAAACACTCGAATATATCTCGTTAGTTTAAGCACTTAACTTAGGGAATTATCTTTGAAAATCGTTTTAAAGGGACTTTTTAGGGAATTATCTTTGAAAATCGTTTTAAAGGAACTTTTTAGGGAATTATCTTTGAAAATCGTTTTAAAGGAACTTTTTAGGGAATTATCTTTGAAAATCGTTTTAAAGACTTTTTAGGGAATTATCTGTGAAAATCGTTTTAAAGGGACTTTTTAGGGAATTATCTTTGAAAATCGTTTTAAAGGAACTTTTTAGGGAATTATCTTTGAAAATCGTTTTAAAGGAACTTTTTAGGGAATTATCTTTGAAAATCGTTTTAAAGACTTTTTAGGGAATTATCTGTGAAAATCGTTTTAAAGGGACTTTTTAGGGAATTATCTTTGAAAATCGTTTTAAAGGAACTTTTTAGGGAATTATCTTTGAAAATCGTTTTAAAGACTTTTTAGGGAATTATCTGTGAAAATCGTTTTAAAGAGACTTTTTAGGGAATTATCTTTGAAAATCGTTTCGAAGGAACTTTTTAGGGAATTATCTTTGAAATTCGTTTTTTAAAGATAATTTTAAAAAATAGATTTTTTTTATTGTAAGCAGGGAAAAATCTTTAAAAAGAAGATGTAGTGAAGATCCGGATCAATTTTGGGGGGAAGATCAATCGCAACACACCGGAGATCGAATTAAACAAGAGGAAAAAATCGATATCGATGCTGGAGGAGGGTACAAATCTGGAAGCATCTTCCTAGAACGATGCTAGAATCGAATTTTGCCATCCCCTCTTTATGTCAACATAAATATAAGCCCTATAACAAGCTAAGGATCAGCAGAAGTAATAAAGAAAAGGAGGAAGAAAGAGAGAAACATCGAACATTGGCCAAGTTCCCAAACAATAAAAATGGGTATAAAAGATCGAAAATTTATATAAACCCTAGTTCCTAACGTTAATGTCCTTATTTCTGAGGCGAAGGATAATAAAATGGGCTCGTAAAATGGGGAATTCTGCAAAGAATTAAGTTAAAATGCGTGCAAAATGGTGGAATTAATCCAGTAAAAATTCTTCGGTTTACCGAGCGTGCAGAGTTTAAAGTTGATAGTAGCGGCAACGTTTAAAGTAATCGATACGCGCTCTGTTAATGGATACCTTTAACCTTTCAACATCCCTAAGCGCACTGGCGTCATCTCGTGTTGGGATTCGATACTAAATATTCTCGAAATGTATGCGATACTTCAGTTTTTTTACTTCGTGTCAGATCAAGTGTAAAGTTTGGATAAGTTGGCATGGAATACAGAATGCTATTGTTTAACCCCGTCTGCAATTCTCTTTTATCTGGCATCCAGTTCAGATAGAGGAGAACCGGTAGAAAGAACATTTTGAATGCTTTAAATGGGAATTCTCGAGTTAAGAAGTTGCATTCTGACAGCACTTACGGGTATATTTAGAGGGAATAAGCTACATATTTCATTTTCAAATACCCGTGAATATTCTAGAATATAACTTTTCTAAATGTTTATTATATAAAGCGGTGCTAGTAATTAAAGGTTCGAGTTCGGAAATTCGGATAACCAAATCCGGCTTTCGTTTTTCTTTAACGGATGATAATGTAATGAGTTTAAAATGAAAAATAAGTAAAACATTTATGCACAATGCTAAATATACAGGGTGTTCCAAATAAAACTTGACATTTCCAAGCTGGCGTATTACCACTACTACAGGGTGTATTACAGCTTTATACAGAACATAACGAGCTGCATAAATTATCTGTCTAATGTGAACAAAACATCTTTAAAACAGGAAGGCCACCATCTGAAAGTGGAAAACAGCATGTTCAACCGTTGCATTCATTGTATGCCTTGGAATTTTACGTACATGGCGTGCCATGCTGTACTTAATGCCTGACAACGATGTTATGGGATTGAGGTAGATCATGTCTGAGATAGCTCCAGAGCCAAAAATCGCACGTATTCAAGTCTGGCCAATCTTACAGGCCAATATGTCACTATTTCAGCTTGGAAAGCGCTTTCTAGTCGTGGTTTTTCGAACTAACTTTTTTTCTCGAAAAAATTCCCATAATTTCGTTAAAGCCTTCCCAAAATTTCGTGACTTTCTGATGAATAGTTTTTGCTGTAGCCAACTGGGAAATGTCAAGTTTAATTTGGAACACCTGTATATTTGTTATAACTTACAGGATGGCCATAATTAGTTTCCCTATGCGGAGTACTCTGTACCCGTAATAAGTAAATGAACTGAAACCAAAATTTGTATATAGACTAATGCAAAGGAATTTACGAAAAAAATTTTAGCTTAAAACTTCTGCTAGGGGTGCTTTGGTGGAATATGGTTTATGGTAGAAACGGTGCAACTTTGGCAGACTCAAAGGATCGTATTACACTTTAAGTGCAAACCGTCGCCGGGTAGCAATTGCAATTCGTCGCCTTCAAATTTTACGTCGAGCAACATTCCTTACATCAATAGACTGCTGTGCAGAAGGAACGTCCCTCGAGGAATAAATAAATGCATTTTTGTTATTTTGTTTCGTACGTTTTCCTGTAAAACACATCTAGCAGAAGGTTTCCAACTAAAATGTTTACCTGTAAAATCTTTTTCCGCATCCTTTTCATGGTGTGTATACAAATTTTGATTTCAATCTGTTTATTGGTTACATCTACAGAGTGTTCTGAATAGGAATTCTAATTATGGCCACTCTGTAAATCAGAACATATTTTAGCATTTACTGTATTAATTGATGGTAATTTAATGTTTAAACTTATTTTAATGAGGATGATTTGTATAGAAATAAATTATCCGATACAACTTTTTAGGATATTTATTACAGTTTTTCAGAATTATAATAATATTTAGTCATTCACATGAAAAAATTTTGTTTAAAACTAAATATAGTTTTTATAAAATTAAAACAATAATGGAAACTATCATACAATTTAATGTATAATTTTTTCTATCACAAATTAGGCCATCAATCTTGGTCTTTTTTCCGGTGGCGGTTTCATTCCAGATTTTTGAGACTGCTGTTGCGTGCTGGTGGCAGGTTCGGCTTTTTCCTGTTTGATTTCGACGACTTTGCCGGACTCTTCCGCTAGAGGACAAAGAAAATCGTATTATGTTCCTTACGAATTTGACAATAATAATACTGTATAATGTAAAAATACGTTCAGAAATTAATTTTATAATCATGTTTTACAATTTTATACATAATATTTTTATGAAAGTTTAATAAACACTTCAAAAAACCTATATATTCGAAAATTCTACTGGTTCTTATTTTATAGAAGGTTGATTCATGTACGAAATGATCGCTGAGTGCATAGGTTATATTTCTTGATTATAAGGTTGCTGTATTCTTATGCGTTTTAACTCTATAATCCTGCTATTATCAACAGTATTTCGTACAGCAAACAAAAACCCAATGGTTTAACAACATACAATTTATTATTCAATTTTCTCTTCTAAGGTGCGTTGCAAAAATATAAGGTCAGTTGCATTTTTGAGTGATTTATCAAAAAAATTCAGTATCACTTATAATTTGATAATTATAAAGAGATGGAAGCACTACATAATTGCAAATGAAGACATAATTGAATTTATATCACCATTAATTGATTGTGATACCTCTACCCATTCTTAAAGTTACTTAAATCCTAAACTGCCTTTGGGCCAAATCAGATTGGAAGTTCTGCTAGAGCTATTTCAAAGCAGCTAAAGAGATCTCGTTGGGTTGTAGCCAATTATATTAAGCTTTGTGTGCAATATGGGAAGAAAAACCAAATAGAATGGCCTTCCAAGGTGACAAGAAAGCAAAAATCATCAATTATGTGGAAAATATCAACAGTAGAAACATCATTAGGTGAAATGGCACAAAGGCCTGATGTTAATGTTCCCAAATCAATACTGTTCCAAATGGTAAAAATCAATAAAATATCTAGCGTATAAAAATAGAAAAGCAGCAGCACATATGTAAAACACCTCCACCAACAAAAAAAAAGACTGATATGGGCCAAAGATAAAATGTCATGGACTTCAAAATGGTGTGAAGTTATCTGGAATAATAAAACAACAAAGTTCAATTTGGATGGTCCCGATGGTTTGCAATTTTATTGGTACAATCTTAGGAGAGAGGGGTTTTTGTTTGCCAAGTGTCAGCAAGAAGGGGGTCAGTTATGATCTGGGCAGATTTTGGATGGTCTGGAATAATCAATTTAGCATTTATAAATTGATGAAGGAAGGCAGGATCTTCTGCCATTTAGAAAAAAAATTGGTGGTCCATTCTGGCAATTGCAACAAGAAAATGCACCAATTCAAAATGCAAACTTCAATTATCAGTGGTTATTGGGTAATGGCATTCAAGTCATGAATTAACCTCCCTATTCCTATGCTTTGAATCCCATAGAAAATCTATGGAGTCTAATAGCTAGGGATATGTATGCGGGAGAAAAATACCACAATATTGAATAACTCAAACCTGTAATTGTAATTGCATTGGAAAAAATCAATTTAAATATCTGCAACATCTTGTTAATTCTATAAAAGATAGTTGAAAGATACGAAATAAGTGTTAATAAAAATGGTGTTTCACTCGCTATTAAATACCACTGGCCTTATATTTTTGCAACACCATTATTTTTTATTTTTTTTTCAATAAAAAAAATTATATCTTTATTTTTATTTTTAATTGTAAATAAAATAAGTAATTCTTTTTGAGTGATTTATCAAATCACCCAGAAAGGGGTTATCATAAATCCCGGGGTTACCGACATGCCAGTTAAACTGCGACTAAAACATAAAATTAATCATATCTAACAAAACTAGCCGTTAATTAAATGTTAAATAAAACATTCTTTCCAGTACAATATAACAACAACATTGTAATTTGACTAATCGACTTAAAATCAGGAAAAGAGAGTTTTCGTTTACAAGACAATAAAATAATTGACATTAGTAGTAACTTAGTAGTAGTTAGTCAGTGTGGGCTATACACTGACCATCTACCCCGACCTTAAAAATAAACATCTTCCTCTCAACTTTCACACAAAGCCGATGTTAATGGGGGTAAGCTGAGATAATTTACAGAAAGTTTCTTAAATTTAATATGTTTATTTTTGCGTTCTTTAATCAAATAACAATAAAATACAAAAAAAAGCAATTTCGGAATTCCAAGAGTATTTTACGTCGTTAGAAAGACGACAAAATGAAGAAATTAAAAGTATAATAATAGTTTTTGATGTTATGCTGACAGTTTCACAGTTTTAGAATAAAAACTCGGATCTATAACCTCAATTAAACCGGTATTCCGCCCGGATAAACCGGCATGCCGGCTTTTACCGTACAGAAATATCTGATTGCATGGTCTTCCCCGGACAGACCCAATGACGGTCATTCCGCGAAAATACGGTACATATATTCCTGTCATTAGTTTTTTGTTTAAGTGTGATAAAAATTTATTACTCCAAAAAAGTTGGGGTGGTCTTATATTTTTGCAACGCACCTTAGAATCGAAAATTGAATAATAAACTGTACGTTGTTAAACCATTGGATATTTGTTTACAATAGCTGATAACAACAGAATTATAGTGTTAAAACGCATAGATTATATTTATTTATTTATTACATATACAAAAGGAAATATCGCAAGATAATTGATATTCTCTCCGATAATAACGCCCGTAACAAACGAGAAAATATTTATTGTGGCATGGTTAAAATGCCGGGCTGCAATTTTAAATCATATTTTTTATTTATTTAATTTAAAATATATTCTCTCTACCTCAAATTAGTGATGGCTTGCCCCTGTACATCATACTTTTCCTGTTAGAATAGAGTCGTGCTGGTCATTAACTCCTTTCGGGGGAAAAATTTCGGAATTGAAATAACGTGACTTCCGGTTTACATCGGAAGTTCGTATATATTAATTGGGGCCCCCTACCCCTTAGGTTTCCACACATGGTCTCGGCTTTCAACTGTGTAACTCCATTCTGGGGATTAAAGAGTCGAACAGACGGACGACAGTGGGGATTTGTGTCTACAATTTTTTCAAATTGCAGCTCGACAACAACGAATAAAAATCAATATACTGTACAGTACACGATAAAGGAAAGTTAGCTATATTATAAGAAATTATTTTATCTAATTCTTTTAATATTTTTTGTAAATGGGAAGAGCCAGTCATATCCCTCCCATACTGGCAGACAATAATCGAGTAGAGACCGAATATTCGCAAAATAGACAGATCGTAAGACTGTTTTTGGGAAAATAGGGGAGAGAAATCCAAAAATTCGAAATCTCAGTTTAATTTTACAGATATGAAGGAGGCGGTAAAATTATTAATCCAGGATTGATACTCAGGATCAATCTTGGCTTAAAATTATGACGATGCCGCAATAAATAATTTCTCGTTGTTTTGTAGTTTCTTTTGGGAAAAAGCATAGCATCCGACTTTCTAACAGCAGCTGACAGACTACGAATTTCAACGAATGGAAATAAATTCCGAAGCGGTATCGGTGTTTTCGAAATGCTGCAAAGACGTACCCGTTGCACAAAAATCGCTTATACAAAAACCCACTACCGATGCAGGAGATAAACTGCAGATACCAAAGAATAATATATTTTCTGTAATCTAAATAAGATTTTTTAAAGAAAATTCTACTTAACTTAGTCCACAGAAAATAAATTATTGTCGTTACTTACGGCGCAAATTTTTTTTCTAACAATAATTTATTCGCATTTTAAAAAATGAATACAAACAACATATTTGCATAGCAATAGTCTACCTTATACTAGTACAAAATACAGTGAAATGGTTATTCTATACAGGAAAATGAAACAAAATAAAAGATTTTCTTTGTTATTAGATAGTTATACTTTAATATTCAATTCCCTATATACAAACACACTCATTCAATGACGAATAAAATTATTGTTTAATTAATTAAAAGACCACATTCATTAGTAATTCGATGAGGAGAATATAGTCAATTTTTTAAAACAACACCAGTGAATACATCTTATATGAATTACATACATTCAATGAATTTATGCATTTTTAATAATGACACCGAAATGATAATCATTTCTAATTTCTTTCATTAACTAATCAATCATCAATTAATTGTCCAGTTAATTAGAAATTAATGCATGTAAATCATTGTACTTATTAGGGAAAATCAGTGTTAAATCAACTAAACAGCTGAAAATTATAGGCTATATTTATACTATAAATTAATTAAGTAATTAATTAATTAATCTGACATTAAAGATGGGTAGTCCCAACATCTTACGATAAATTTAACAACACAAATTTTTAATTAATTAATTAATTTTGAAAATATATTCTTCAATCCCTGCAAACTAGACAAGTATTTTATCAGCTATGCTGTCCACAGCACTAATCTGATCTTTGCCTCTAGGCATGTATAAATTTTTAATCCTATTATAACAACACAAATCCACTGATCACACAGATCCACTTATCTAGAGGCAATGATTAGGCTGGAGGTATGAATGACAAAATTGGCAATGTCTCTGCCCAGTTTACAGGATTGAAAATTTAAATCATACTCTGAGTTGATCTATTTTATAGCTGTTTCTAAATTATTAAATTTATTACAAGATGGAAGTAGTACTAAATACATTAATTAGTTAATTAGTTTATAGCATAAATGTAATCCTTGTCCACGAGTTTGTATACTACATATAAAAGCACAGAAGAAAGCAAACAAAATAATCTCATTGTTACTGAATGGATTAAAGTCAATGCAACACAAGGTAGATCTACCAAAGGGAATGCCTTCCAGAAGGACTTTTCTATGGGAAACCTGCTCTATTTAGGTATTAGACAAGTGAAGAAAATCCAGAAAACTCTGGGCAGCCAACTTGTTGGGCAAGCACAAACCTACAACCAGTTATCGGTGTTCAGTGGTTTTTATTTACTAATCTACTAATGGGATGCAAAAAAAATTAATTTAAAATATAACCTTCAACATATTTTAAATACCAGTCAAGTTCACTTAACAAGAGCATTGGATAAGAAAACCATTTGCTTAAGATAGTACTCTTCCACATTCCCTACAATTTACTTGT